ATGGCTGCCTTCCCTCCGATTGCGATGCCCAGGTGGTCATGGTAACGCCCTTGGTGGTGGTTTGGCCTTGGGCCCTGCTGTCTCAAGGACACTTCTGAGCACCTTCCCTTCAATACACACATGAATGTAAATCCCAGTTGTTTTTCTCTCCACGGAAGGGTTATTTCTTTGAGGCAGAACACAACCCTCTGTGGGGAGGCATGCTGCCAGTGATAATAAACACTGCCTTTTCTTCTTACAGTTGGCTTGAAGTTTCTGGAACACAAAGAGCTTTCCAGCTTTGCCAAGCTTGTCTTGGGAGATGAAACAGGCACTCCTTGCCATGTGCTCAAAGTTACTTTTCCCTAGCCTTTTCCCTTTCTTTCTGAAGGTGAGAGATTGCAAAAAGCAAAACAATTATAACAACAACATTCTCATCAAATTGTAAAAAGTTTGTGAGTCAGTGGATCACACCCAGAAGCCTAACCTGCAAGGGTCCTGCTAGGGAGTTGAGGAGGGGGCTGGTGCTGCCCACATCTGGTTTGCTATTGTCAGGATGTGTAGAGAGTCTCAGATTTGTATCACACTTAAAAGCTAATAGCTTGGTCTGCCACAGTTCCATGGCAGAGGACTCCAGTCTCCTAAGTCAGAGACTCAGTGTGGTATTACTCACAGCACAGAGAAGGTCATGAGTGCCACGACCCCATCACTTCTCTTGTGCCCTCAAGGCCCATGGGGTGATACAGAGGAGCCAGGTAGACTGTGCACACAGTAGGTTTGGGTCACAGTCGAGGAACCATGAAGTTAAGAAGCACCAAACATTTCTTTTCCATTTCAACAAATAATCATAGGATGCCTACAATGGACCAGGTGCTGATCTAGGAATGAAGAACACACTGAGAAAACAGAGCTCTGTCCTTGTGCGGCCGACCTTGTAGGAATAGACAACCATCATAAATAACTAAATTATACGGTAAGTCAGATGAGAAGGGTATGAACTGAGAGCCATAGACAATGTGGCAGCAGGAATGTTGGGAGCGGGCTGAGACGATGAGAAATTGGGGTGAAGACGGTAGAACACCAGGGGACCTGCCTGAGGCCACGCAGACAGGCAGGGAAGCTTGAAGGTGTGAATGCCTGTGTCTAATGCCTAGGAAACTCCAAACTTAAAAAAAAAAGGGTTGCTGGCAAGCCTGTTAAATTTTGCCTCAGAGAAAGACATTGTTTTTATTATCTTGGTCAGCAAACATAACTGCCTCTTGCCCAGAAGGGAGACATATCTCTATCTTCCAAAGCTATTTGTTATGCAGACATCCTTGAAAATATAGTACAGAACAGAATCCATTAATGTCTCCTCTCAGCAGATACGCACAAATGCAAGGGACTCATGGCGGATTGTCTCTCAACCGTTAATTCCCACTCTCATGCTTGCTGATACTTGAGTGACCCAGCCAACACTGAGGTCCATCCCATCTTTGGTCCCAGCTTGTGGAGGGAAGAGGGGCTCAGCCAGGATCCCATCCTTAGTTACCACCTAACTCTGTCCTAGCCGCGGCTCGGTAGGCTCAGAAATTCCTTAGGCTACTCAAGAGCTCTACCATCACGAATCTTCTCAAATAAACAACATATAAGAGCAAACAGACACAGTTCTACATAAGCCTGAAGACTCCTTGACTTATGCCCTTGTTAGGATTGCAACAGTTTGGTTTCTAAGAACTGAGGAAAACTTTTCTTTCGCTCCAGCTTTATTCCTGACTCTGTTGTTTGACAGGTCACTTTGAGCCAATGAGTGAAAAAGTAACATGGGGCTCAGGACCCTTGGATATTAAATTATTGATACTTAATCTTCCCAAGTGATCTTCAGAGAGCTGATGATGCCCTCTGGGCCACATTCTTTAGGTAATAGAGGAACACTTTTGAACATGGACATACCATCAGCTCCCATTGAACCTTCAAGAGTAGGTGATTATAATCAACTAGTTCTTGGATTAGCAATCCTAGTCCATGGACACTGTCCACCTTTGCTAGAAATAGATTTACAGAGTTCACAGCTTTTCTGGAAGGCCTCAGTCATTTCCTTAAAAGTCACATGAAGCTTTTGGCCTATGGGGATCAAAGTCCCAGATCAGAAGGGCCTTAACTGAGTGTGATTTCCTGCTTGTTTTATGAGCAATTTAAGCAACAGTGTGTTTTCGGTGTCTTAAAGTATTATCATGATTCTCTGTAGCATGGGCACAAACATGGTGGGATGGGAGCTTATCCATCCTGACCTATGATAAGCTTTGTATCATTTTACCCCTTCATCTTTCTTCACCTCCACTTCTACACCTTCTCTTCCTCGTGGAAGGTCATGGCAGATGTGGATGTAAGAAAGTGGGCAGGCAGACTTGCGAACTGAATGCAAGCACTAGGGTTCGTGTAGATATATGTGTACTAATGCTGTGTGGTTTACTGGCTATGTATTAAGCAAAGGCCTTGTTCACTTTAGGAAGGTGGGCCTTTTTTAGACTGTCAGCTGAATGGATGCCTCAGAAGAAACCCAGCCCATTGACCCAATGGCTATTGTCCAGTGACCCTCTAGATATTGGCAAAGGATAAAGAACTTACCTGTGTCCCATTGATCTAAGATAAAGCACTCTGGTTTCAGACTTAGCCTAACAAGATGACCTCTCAAAGACATTATAAATCAGGTTAGAGACAGGCAGAGGTCCAGAGGAAAATTAATTTATTGTCACCCTGGATAATGGCTGTTTTACTACACAGCGCCCCCTTTACATCTATAGATCTGGATCTCTTTGTGGCCATTAATTCCAGGCTCCTTCCTGAGAGAGAGAGAGAAGTGGACTTTTTGATACAATGCTTGTGTGTTGAATTCATTTTAACGAACATCGTCAAGGCAGGATTATGAAAGTAATCCATTAGAGAGGCAGTCATGATGCAGAATTTTTATTTTTGCACAGCTTGAGAGAAAATGAAAAAAATGGTAAACTTCTAAGTTTGGGGACTATAGAAGTTTTAAATTGATGAAAGATAGTTTTAATTTTTTTCCCAGAAAGTAGCATTTAATTTCCTTTGCATACAAAAGCAGTCTGTGAGGGTCTGTAAGGGTGCAGACAATAAACTGTCAACAGGGATCAAATTCTGAAACTGTGGCAAGAATAAAGAAAGCACACTTCATAAGCACGGAGTCATCTAATATTTGTTCCGGCAGATGAGTTGTGGACCTGGTCTGCAGGCTAGGTAGGCCAATGTGCCTACCTGGAAAATAAATGGAAGGAAGCAGTGATGGAAAAGAGGGAGGAAAGGAAGGGGAGAACAGGAAAGACATTTCTGAACATGTCCTCAGATGGGAATAACTGGCACCAGTCTGTGCTGGTGGCTTAAATAGGAGCCTGTAGAGACTATTAAGAGAGAGAAAGGTACTTGTGTAGTGTGTTACCTGGGCAACTGAGCTGCCATGGGCATTTGATCAAGTTTTCTGATCAATGCCAGACCCCTGTTGTGAAGACCTAAGAGAGTCTGGGATGGGGTGTGGGTGTGGGTGCCGTGGGCGGATGATGTGCACTTTCTAAAGCACACCGTGTAAGTGTCATGGGATGAAGAATGAAGTTCAGACTACTTAAGAGTACGTTTTCTGGTAGGATGAGCCACGTGGTAAATAATTTAAACTCGGAGGAAAAAAAAATTAAACGTTGAATTTCAGAGGAACTTCACTTACTGTTGGCTGGTTTTCCTCCGGGTACAGAGGAGTGAATCAGAGGCAACATATTCTAACATGGTCTATTGCAAATTTAGATACCAGTCATGGTGGTGACAGAACAGGTCCTGGAGGGCAGGGTGCATAGAATTCCCTGGTCCTCTCTCCGTTTCTCCAGCAAGCTGGTGCTACCTGTGGGACTCTAGAGGAGGAGTCTGCCAACGTTTCTGTACTGGGCCAGATGGTAATATTTTCCACCTTACAGACCATACCATCTCTGTTGTAACTACTCAACTCTGCCATCGTGGCACAAAACAGCCATAGACAAAATGGAAATGGTGCACATGGCGGTGTTCCAATTACATGTTATTTACAAAAGCAGCAGCTGGCTGGATTTGGCGCGTGGGCCATGGTTTGCTGACCTCTGGCGTAGCTAGAGGGCGAAGTGCTGTGGAAAGGCAAGGAAGGAATGGAACATCTGGGAAGCTTAGAACACCTGGCCAGCCCCCGGTTATGGTCGGGACCAGCTGTGTCTTCTGTGCTCTTCTCAGCCATTCCTGAGGAGCTTGGAGCGCTGTTATCTTCTCTGGTTCATTAAATTGGGCTCTGTCTGGGTCAGTCCTGGTGTTTGCAAACACGAGAGTCAAGAGGAAGGAGGACCCAGCGATCAATAGGAGACAAGAGAGGTAGACACCGAAATAAAGGCAGACAACCTTTCCTTTTTTATTTCGCTTAGACAAAATGCAAAGAGTGTCTCATTAAATTAAAAAATAAACAGAAAGAAAAAAAGAAAATCAAATTGATTCCCCCCCAACCCCTTCACTGACGGCACTCATCCTAATTAACAACAGAAGGAGGTCAAATTGAGGACCCAGTTTCTAATGGGAAAGAAAGGTGTGCAAACGTGACTGAAGTCTCCCCCCCTGCCCCCAAATCAAGGTTCCTTTTAAATTCACAAAGAGGGTAAATTTTTTTTCCTGTTTTCGTTCTTAAATCTTGTGTGATAGAACTTCCAGTCAGAAGGTTTAATTAGTCCCCCATGCACTTTGTAGAAAATCAGTAAAAATGCAATAGCCTGTGAAGATCATAAAACTGGACTTCTTTCCCAAAAAATCAGATGCCCAGGCAGATGGAGCTCACACTCAGACAGAAAAAAAGCAGGAGAGTCTTTGCACTGTCTGTGGTTTCAGTATTTTCTCTTTTTTTTTTTAATATATTTTGGCAATTTTCTTTAATTATAAATATTGGAATTCCGTAAAAAAAAGGTAGCTTTGATTGAATTTTTTAAATTGTATTTACAACTGCTGTCCAGTCATGCTATTTGTTATACCAGGGTGTAGGATTTTGCGTAGGGATTGTTTCCTTTCAAATGGCCCCGAGAGTCAAGCAGGGATTCTTGGGAGCTGCTCATCTTAGCTGCCTGTCCCAGCTCTGCTCCCTCTCGCTGAGGTAATGTGGCCACAGCCCCTTGTTGCCACTGCTGTCCCTCTCTCGTGGAGGACGTGGAGGAGGACGCCTCCATGGGGATCGGTTCAAGGACCGTGGGTCGCTTCAGGGTCCGACTTTTCTGAGGTTCCAAGCACGCTTGCCCTAAACTCAGGTCCCTGCTGGTGCTGGCACCGCTTCGGTTTAACAAAAAGTCCATTCTAAGGTATGGAGGCAAATGTATGAGGTCACCTGGAAGGAAACACAGAGTGGTTAGTTGGCTTCCTCATCTGCTAAGCAGGTGCCTAGTGTCGTTCAGCGTTTAGAGCCGGAGATGTCACTGGACCTCGCCACTGCTTTGCAGGACCCCTTGTCAGAGCTCACAAAAAAGCAGGTGGAATTGTCCTGACACCCGTCCCACCAGGCGTCCCACTGGCTTTTCTAGGGCACCTTGGCTTAGGCTCTTAAGTGCCATGCTTCAGCAGGAGAAAGAGAGGTAACGAGATCCTTCAAAATCCCACCATGGAAAGAAAACATACCTCAAAGGCGACAGCGCGCCCCAGGTACAAAGTGTGGTACACTGGACCCCGTGGGTGGCGACTGGAAGCACTGGGGGGAGCACAGGGCTTGAGGAGGGAGGCAGCGATGCCAAGGAGAAGGTAATGCTCATCGGTTAGCCCAGGGCTTCGGGTCTTTCTTTCTCCAGGACGCACACAGACAAGAGTGTTTGTGCGGCAACCAGCTGGGATGAATGCGGGGCGCTCTTCCCGGCCATCTGGGGGCCGAGGGGCTCACTGTTTTGGCTCACTTGTAACTTCTCCATGGCACACTGGGTGGGCGGGCGGTTCTGGTTAGAAAGCGGACTGGGGTGTGCTGTCCTGAGCCAGGATGCCAGACGGGAGGATGTTCAGGTGCGGGAGGCATGGTGATGGTCTGAGCTCAGAGGATGTCCATGGAATGTAAGAGGGAATAGAACAGTGAGCTAGAAAAGGGCCCAAGGATCCTGGCTTCTGAATGGAGGGTGGCCTCATGGTGAAAGGGAAGGACGGTGTGGGTGGGTGTTTACACATCCCATTTCCTAAAAGCAGTGACCCATCTTTATTCTTGAGAGTTGAATAAGCCCATTTTATTCATTTGCTCGTTTATTTATTTACATGACTATTATTCTTTTGTCATTTTGTTCTCAGACTTAAGAAAACGTGGCATTCCTTTACCCCCAGGGTGATTTGAAAATGTAGGTCAAGAATGCCTCGTGCTGTTTCTGAGATCCAACTGAATCTTGAACCCGTGGCATATTTGCAAAGTGTTGCGACAGATTCGGGAATGGCTGTCTATCCCGCTAAGTCCCCACTGAATGAACAGGACTTATTAAGCCCCTTGCAAAGCAGTAGTTTCTTGGTCCCAGCTGGATTGCAGGGTGCTCAGGTCCTAGATGAGGTAGAACAAATGTGTTTGAAATGAAAAGACAAAGCCCATGATAGCTGCTCTCTGCCTGCAAGGGCTCTCACGTTTGATTTCGTGATCAGAGGGTTGGGGTAGCTGAGAAAGGTGGGGGAGAATTGCAAATCCTTAGTAACGGAAAGAGCCCAGCCCCCACATCTTTGTGTACGAAGGCTGCCCGCGCTCTCCTACTGAAGGTCTGACAACTCTCTGTGACTATCTCTGAGTGATCCACTTTTCAGGCAAAGCTTTATTAAGTTGTACGATGCTCTAATTAGCCCTTTTGACAGTGTGAATACTGCAAATGAGCTTTCTTAATAATTCATGCCCTTACGAGGAAGAAAGCACCCGAGTAATCGGTGGTGAGCTGTGTTTATTAAAGGCACTTTATGTCCATTAAAATCCCACCCCATGTGCCAATCCAAGTACCACTAGGGAGACTGAGTTCTCGCACCCTTCCGTCTTCTATGTTCTTCAGATGCCTGCAGATCCGAGAGAACTCATGCACTCATCGCTCCAGCGAGAGACAAGGGGACTGGAAAACCTGAATATGGGTTGACAATGCTGACAATCTGGATAGGGGCACACCCGCTTTTCTTAGCGTCCTGCCCTCCGCCTGCTCGTTTCCCTGAGCGATTTAGGAGCAGAGGTCTGGAAGACGTTGCCTGCATTTAATCTGGGCTCAGTCTCCTCACTCATAAAATGGGGGTACTCGCAGAATCCACCACACGGAGTTGTGGTGGGGATTTCATTAGATAATGCACGCGAAACGGCTTTACTGTCAGACATCTCCCTTCTCAGAAGGTCTGAAGTTAATGGCCTGGAGACCTGCCAGGGAAATGAGCTGGGAACTCTTCTTTCTACCTTGGCTTGTGTCTTCAGTGGGTTGGTTAGTGCCCACCCCCTACTCCCCAAGATGTGTCCATGTCCCAGCCCTCAGAATCTGTGAGCGTGACTTTGCTTGGAGAAAGTCTTCGTTTATGTAATTAAGTTAAGGATCTGGAGATGAAGTCATCAGGACTTGGGGTGGGTGCCAAGTTTGGGGACAGGTGTCCTTCTAGGGAAAGGCAGAGGGAGACTGGAGACAAGAGAAGAGGGAGGAGCCATGTGAAGAGGGGAGGAGGGGTGGAGAGGTGCTGCCCCAAGCTAGGGAGCACCTGCAGCCCCCAGCAGCGGGAGGCAGCAAGGAAACGGTTCTCCCCTGGAGTTCCTGGAGGGAGCACATGTCTGCTGACACCGATTTTGGAATTCTGCCTTCCCAGAACTGTGACAGCATAAATCTGTGTTGTTCTGAGCCGCCCAGTCCGTGGTACTTTGCTATGGCGGCCGCAGGACACTCACACAGATGTCCTTAAATCTTGTCTGGGATGGGCTGGATCTCCTTCAGCAGGGAGCAGAGCCTCTTTGAAGGCATCTGTCTCCACAGCGAGCAGGTCTTTGAGTCCCTCACACTCCAGCCTCCCCAGCTGACCCACCCCCAGCTGCTGTATCTTCTCTAATGTTCTGTGGAGCAATACGCCCTGACGAGAACCCACCAGAACCCTCTGGAGTCATCCCACACGTGTGAGCGGACCAGTGATCCCGGAGAAGCTCAAGTCTACAGTCACCTCCGTCAGGCACGCGTGGCCCTTGGCATCCTTGTGCGTGTCAACCCGCTGTGGCCACAAACGCATGGCTTTAGCGCTGATTCCAGTAAAACCAGTTTCAGTGGGGTTTGCCTCTATTTTCAGGAGGATTCAATCATTTGTTACTTAAACTCCTCTTCTTTGCTTTACTCTGCCTTACCCCTCCTCTTTCCCTCTTTCTCCTTCTCGTTTTGTTTCCCTCATGTGGACCCTCTTCTCCAAGAAGTAAAGAGCAGAGGGAAGGGGTGAAATAGTGCGGGTAGGAGGGGGCAGGGGTGGCAGCGACACGCAATGCAGTGACCAGCGCACAGACGGCAAGGAAAGTGGGGTGCGTGGGCACGCGTGTGTGTTATATGTGTGGATGTGTGTGTGCTTGTAACTGTGTGTGCATGTTTGTGTGTATGCGTGTGTGTGCGTGTATCTACGTGGGTGCATGGGTCTGTGTGTGCGGGTGGGTGCGTATGTGTTTGTGTGTATGTGTATGTGTGTATGTGTGTGCATGTGATTATGTGTGTGTCTGTGCTCGTGTATGTGTGTATGCATGTGTGAGTGTGTGTGTGTGTGTGTGTGTGTGTGTGACACACAGAGGGGAGGAAGTCCTGGGGAGAAGCTGCCACCGAAGGAGAAGTGGAAATGCACAGGAGAAGGGACAGGTAGAAGGACCCGGGCTCACATACTGGTGGTTGGAAGGGAAAGGATATGGGGGCCCCAAAGCCGCCTTCCACGTCTTCCTTCTGCCCTACTTCCATAATGGCCTGCACTTCTAGCACTTTCCTAGTTAGCTAGATCCTGTTAGCTACTTTCCCAAACCCAGCATGAATGCAAACACGGTGACGGGGGAAGAGTCCCAAATGGAACTTTCGGGCACACTCTGCCCACTGATTTTTGTGGGTTTTAATTCATGCATTTGTGTGTTGTGAGCAGTCTCCCCACTGTGCCCTGCTCCTCAGGCCTGGCCCTTGTGTCGGAGACGTGGGGTGAGGGTGGGGGAGGAGGACACGGCCACATGGGCCCCCAGCGTGCAGAGCACAGGTGAGGGTGTGGCCCTGTCCCCTCTCCTGGCCATACCCACCTACCTCGGGGCCTCTGCATACTTCCTCAGCCTGCAAACTCCAGATCACAGGCTGTCCCTCCTGTGCCCCTGAGACATCCACCTCCAGGGACTAGGGGGGAGGGGGTGGCGCAGCCATTGTTCAATGTTATGCCTTATTGTTGACATAACGGTCCATTCCTCATTTTCCTGTCACTGCCCCTGGGACCTTCGGTGCCACTAGTCTCTCTGAAAGTTCACACTGAACGGGTGGCATTGATTTCTCCCTCTGTCCCTAACCACCTTGCTTACTGATGCCAGTCGTGAACCAGCACAGACCCTCTGATGGCCCCATACCCCCCAGCAGGTGCTTGGCATACTCAGAGCCTGCCATCACCCCCAAGGGGGCTTCCAGCCATGGTTGGCCCAGCCTTGCGAAAACGGCTCTAGTGAACCTGTGTCACTTATCTGAAGCCAGGAGACGCTCCCTCCTATCGGGAAAGCAAAACTTCCCGAACTTTCTCAGGATGCTCAGACGCACACACAGTTTGAATGCACTTCAGCTTTGGAAGAAGGATGGCAAAATCGGTATGGAAAACGAGCAAGAATGCATTGATTCAGAAAATCTATAATGATGTGCCATCCATGAATCTATTCTCGGGCGATGCTTCCAGCCATTTGGCATACCCCACACTAGGGAAGGAAACATCTAGAGTTTAGACCAGTGGTTCTCAGCAAAGAGTGATTCTACCCCTCAGGAAGCAGGAGGCCATGTCTGAAGACTATTTGGATGTCACAGTTGGGAGGTGGCTGCTACTGGCCTTTACTGCACACAGGCTCAGGATGCTGCTTAAAACCCTACAAAGCACAGGACAACCCCTCCCCTTCACCCCCCGCCAGAAAAAGTGACCCTGCTTCCAGTGCTCATTGTGCTGTTGAGAAACCATAGTTTAAAGGGGCCAAAGTTCACAATTCCAGGTGGACCCTCATTTTTCTTTAATTTTATCTGAAAACCATTTAACTCAATCAGAATAAGGGATTTCACTGCTCAGCTTCTACTGGTCCACAAGGAGTTATGGCCTCGGTTCTTGGGAGAGAGCGAGGGACGGTTCCCATGCAACAGCGGCCACGGGGTCTGCCTCTGACGTGGCCCGATG